GCCTATGGCATTTTACATTGTATAAACTAGCCTTGAGGCTAGCATACTTTTCCTCTACTCATATGAAGCCAGGGACAACAGCAACATTTAACAAAGGTAACGTTACAAAATTCGGCTCCATTACAGCTCACAAGGTTCACTGACAAAACAACTGTCTTATACTAAACATGTTTTCCAGTTACTACATGCTAACCTTATTAGCACAAGCATATAGCATTTTACATTGTATGAATTAGCCTAGCAACTAGCGGAGATTTCCTCTGCTCATATGAAGCCAGGATAAATCACATGCAAGACTTATAATGCTATTTTTGTGGAGGCTTTATTGTCTTGACAATTTACTGTTTCTGTGAAATTAAAGTAAATAAAATCTTTGTTTCCACTGAGGGAAATGGTTTCAGCTTACAGAAATAGACAGGAGGTCTGCGTCGCTGTGTTGTGTTGTTACATTTCAGGCTTTGGCTCTAAAACGTGTTGCTAGAGAACTTGTGAGTGAGTGAGTGGGGCGGAGCTGTACGGAGAGCGTGAGAGAGGAGTGATGCACACTGATATCTGTCATGTAACACAACTTGACCCTATGCCTGTATAAACGGTGTTGTCAAAATGTATATCTTGCTTATATTGACATATCATGCATAGTTGTTTTATCGTCCACCCCTATAACAGAAGAATAAAACAAAACTTGTTTGGTTTTATGTAGAAAAAATGGTCTTCTGCTGGTGAAGGACAGCAGCATGCAGATGTGACATCGCCAACAGCCTTTGAAAGTAGGCCAGTGACCAGTACTGTTTTGAAATACATCTGTTCATGTGTGGCTGTGTAGAAAATAAATACATCTGCACACCAGAAAGGTCATGTTAGACGGATTTTAATGCTGTGTAACGTTTCAGCAAGCAGCTCCTCCTCCGACTTCTGATAAATACAAGAGTCACCATCTGAAATACCTGTGATGCGTCAACTGACATACCACACCTGTTGCAAACATCATCCTTAATTATTCTTAAACAATTGATTGAGGATACTTATATGAAGTGCAAAAAGGCACATAAAAAGAATATGGGAGGGTAGGGATTCCATGAGGCAACGTTAGCAAGGTTATTCTCCTTGGGCTTGATGCATTAATTGCACCGCAGATTGTGGTGTTTTGTCAGGTGGTTAAAGGAGTAAGTGTTGCTTTGCAGCGCACACACAAGTCTCATACACTCTTTACATACATGATTTGTTCTTGCTTAACATCACTTGTCCTGTATCTGAAATACTTCCAAAACAACAGTTGATGATGATCTGTATCGAGGGACTAGCTCTTCGCCCTCTGCCCCAAACATCTAATCTTTGTTTTGCCGGTCTGCTCTTTGTTGTATTTTACTCCTCTGCAGCTGCAACATTCAGGAAAGTTTTCACAGGCTGCGGCTGCAGGGCGCAAGTGCAGCATCATGACAACAACTCAAAAATGGAGGCTGCCTGTTAGTTTAGGAAACACTTTCTGTGAGCTGAGCACACATTTAAAACGTCAGTGTTGCAGGTGATTATGGTAATTTAATTGTGGGAAGCCAAAATTGTGATCGAGATTAATATTTGATAAATTGTGCTGCTCAACAGTCATATTTGGAGGCTCCTTTTGTCATTAATCTAACATTGTAAATTGCAGTTGAGATCAAGTAACAAAGAAAAACAGTAAGACATGAAAATATTCCTAAAGAACAAAGTATATTGAGAGGGCAGTGTTACTGTGGGAGACATGACAGAATATTAACTTAAAAGGAATGTCTAATATCAAACCCCTCATCAAGGCCTTTGGGGGCCAAAGTGCTCATGTATGTATGTGAAGAGTTTCTGTTGTCGGAGCAAAGAGTTTATATCACCCCCTCTGTGTGGATGACACCAGTTCCCACATATCTAAGAGTGGAAATGTTGTATTTCGCCTATGAAAAGCGTGAAGCAGCAGGACTGATGTAAATTTGTTTCTGATAGTACTGGGGTGTTCAACAAAAAAAGTTTTTGAAGATCCGGTGGTCTTACTGACCTTTAATGTTGAATCTTCCACCCAAATGAGGGTGGTTATGATACATAAAGTCTGTACTACCTAAATAGGCCCTCTGTAATTACTGAAATGAGTCTAAAATGTTATGAGGCAGTAAAAACTTGGGTAGATTGGTGTTCTGTCTGACTAACCAGCCGATGCTCCATTGACTCTGTAAATTAAGCTTCGATTTGAAACAGGCAGAAGCTGCATTCACAAACATTACAGCTGGTTATACCATCAATGATGTGTATCAGTTCATTTAGCTCACATTCTCTGCTGAAAGCCGTTCCTCTTTTACTGGGGTTGAATGGCCGCTACAGAAAAAGTGACTACAAATATCTGAAGTAAACAGATTAATCAAAAGTTTCTGTGTGATGTCATGTCAGAACATTTTTAGAAGCATTAAAGCATCAAATCCTGCGACTCCAACAACACTTCAAAAATCTTCAAACCAAGACAGAACAAGCAAGAAAGGACCAGTGTCCAATATTTTTGAGTTTCAGTACCTTTCTTTCTGATAAATCTGCATGAATCTGCAATCTGTAGCTTGTGTTGGTTTTGGTTTAGATGCAGATCAACAGTTATAAAGTACTTACAAGAAAGAAAGTAACTGTTTTGCAGATGAGACCAAATATACAAAAAGCAGCTGTTTTACTGTGTAGGCCACCGTTATTTGTTGTGTTTGTATGATGCACAAAGGATATGCCATTACAGGTGACTCCTAAATTTTGAGCGAGCCATCTGGGAAGGGAAGTGCAGTGATCCGATGTACGAGTCATGATGTATAAAGCCGTCCCTTGTGATCAGTGTTTTGACAGCTGATCTAGCATGATGGATGTTTTACTGCCATGGCCATGCGGAGGAGGATGAGTAGGACCGCACTTTAGCAGGGTGATGATAAAATCTGCACAGTGTTTGGGGCCTTTCACCATCAATTGTGACAAAACTTCAGTTTGGCTGTAATAAAGTGACAGCTAATGCTGTGAGTGTTTCATCAACTTTGACATTCAACACAGATTTTAGATTGGCCACGAAACGTTGACTCATCACAGAGATTATATCTAAACTTTCAAAAAAAGTGGACAGTAAATTGAATAAGTACACAAAGTACGTACATTCACTCAAGCACTGCACTTAGGGACATTTCAGCCAAAAATAAAAAGTACACATTTTCCCTCTTAACTAATAGTGCTGTTTATCAATCCACATCAGAGTTTGGCAACCTTTTAATATGAGGTACAATTTTTAAATTTCCTTGTTGACCATTGTGTGCCATATTAATAAAAAGTCAATCCATCGCTCCTCAAAATGCTCCATAAAAACTTTGGCTTTATCTTCATCTTTTGTTGCTTTAGACCTTGGTTGAAGCACCAGAGTTCCTCCCTCACAGTCACATTACAGTATCTTGCCATGATGCCAAATGTGGTATGTCATTTACATCCACCCCCTCATCAAGTGCAATGCTAAAGTTGTGAACTTTGGATGTGTGTGTCCCCGTCCCTTTGTATCAGTCTCTGTCGCCTCTCTAAATTTGTTGGTTTTAGCGGGTTTGTGAAAGCAGCTTGAAACTCTCCATTAGATCCTTATTTTTCTCAGCAGTTTGTGAAGTTTGAGCTGCGGGGTGGATAAGCTAATCAGATCAGATCGATGAAAGGTTAAATATCACTTATACTGTGCCTGGCATTCTGCTGCTCCGTCTGTGCCCAGACTACATGAACAATGAATAACCGAACGGTAGCCTCATTCAAAGACAAGACAGTAGGAGAGTAACAAGGAACAACGTGAATGGCAGTTATAAATACCATATCATAAATCTAAATTTGGACAATCAGCTTTTTCCATAAAGGGCTGTCAACTCTGGAACATGTTACCAATGGAAATCAAACTGATTACAGATTTAAAATTCTTCACAACAAAGGTCAAGAGCTGGCTAAAAGCAAACCAGAGCTGTAGCCACTCCTAGCTGAATGCGCTCAAACTTTTTTTTGGTGTATTGTGGTATGTGTGTAGTGGTATGTCTATTGTAGTGTGTACATTGTGATCTATGTAATATATTGTCCTTTTCATGTTTATAGTGTATTAAGGTTGCATGATGTTCGAAACTTTATATTTTTAATAACATTTTAGATCTACATGTAAAAGTCCAACTATGGACAAGAGTTGAAAATTAGCAACAGCTATAAACTCTGTGAAACACATCAGTCCCATACTCTATATTGGAACTATGTTAAATTGCATCGTCCCTATCAAATGAAAGTAACATAAGTGAATATATATCAAAAGTGCTCCTAATGAATGGTCCAGCTCCAAAATTAGAAAATCAGTGCAATGTGGCAGATGTTGTTATCATGATGGGTGCTACAAATAAATTAATGTGTGGGGAACCTCTTATAAACAATTCAATAAACTCTCTTGCACACTTATTGCTAGTGTGCCACTAGTTAAGCTAGGCGTGCCGATGGTAAAATATATATTTATTAATTTTGGTGTGAGATGTCCCTGTAAACTTTGTGAATTTCCATCTAATGCTGTTTTGTGCATTTATTATACTACACTTTAGAGGGTAATATTATACATTTTGAAGTATTAGGATGAAACCAACACTTTGACAAAGTTGTCTTCATCAGGGTTTAGACACTTCACTGCAAACATTAGAAATATGTATCTGTGACAGATGTATAGTCATTCAAATTGAATTTTCAAGCATTGCTAAGTTTTAACATATCTGATGCCTTACAGTTAACCATTTTAACAAGACTATGATTTATGTTTTTCTAAATATCACCATAGAAATTTTAAGGATGCTGTCGTTGATACTTACAGATATTTGGATAGATACATTTATGACCATTTCCTCATTATTTTAACTCATTATGTTAATGAAAAAACCTTAATCCTGGCAGTATTCCTGTATTTTTTCCGTCCCACCTTAAAGTACTGTCCACCGTCTGTCAACATCAATGCATTCTCTTTGTAGGTCATCAAGCATGAAGGTCTGTCCAAAGATGTCTCTGAGTGCACATTGTTCGACCTGCTGAAGTACAACGATGTCAATGACGACGAGCACCTGACAAAAGAGGAGTTTTACACAGCTTTGGGTGAGTGCCATTTCATTCCAAGTTTTCCAAGTTTGAAAAGGCTTAACACTGTCCCTGACAGATCAGTGTTTTAGTAGCACTAGATATTTTCATGCCTGCATTTTTCCATTCACTTCATCTGAGTAAACTTTGGATAAGATGTGGCAGAGCTGAAATTATCATACTTTTAATATATCTTAATGTGTTTATTATATGTGTTGAAGTTCATTGTTCCCATAGTCTTAATATTGTTTCTTAAACATTGTAACAAATGTGTCCACATCACTTTACACTAGTTAATCCTTATTTATTTGTTCAGCAATACAATAAGTGTGATTAAACTGTAAAAGAGAGGGTAACTTGAAACCATAGCAACAACAGAAATCTGTTAGAGTTCATGACATAATTACAGGGCGGGTTCATCTGTCTTCTTTTCCATGTTTTCAAACAGAAACTCCCACTCAGACATTATCAAAATGCTGTGATGTAGGTTATAGTGCTGATCCACCACCCTCCTCACACGCCTATCGCTGACGGTGTAAACAAAGAGAGTGAGAAAAGTGTTAGCCTGTAAGATTTGAGCTAGGAGGTGGAACATGATGCCATTAAACCATGATTTAACCACATGATGACACGTTGAGATTCAATTTAATTCTGCATTTGTGCTTTATAAACACATTGATAGAGCCGTAGTCATTGTATTACCTACAGTTAGATGGTGGTCAGCAGTGTAGGCTGATGTTGATGCCAAATTAGTTGGATTCTCAAAGACCCACAATGACAAAAACAAACTAACTGATCAGGGGTAGCAGTAGCTGGTAACACCCTGTGTTCTGTGACATAACATTACTGTAAGGAGTCTGGTGGTTGTGAACGGGGGCAGCAGCAAAATGTATTTTAGCCACCTTAAATCAAGGATGACCAAGAAAAAAATCATTTTTAGTGTAGGCTATATTTAGATTATTTTACTGCCTTACCTTGCCATCAGACAACCCCTTTCAACTCCATTGACGGAAACAGTAATTTTACCTCACAGCACATGGAGGTTGCTGGTCAACCCTCTGCCTCGATCCATTAGTGTTTTTATGCCTCTTAGATATATCCGTACGTATGTCTGTTACATTCTTGTGAACTAGATTATCTCAAGAATGCCTTGAGGGAATTTCTTCAGATTTGGCACAAACGTCCCCTTTGAATCAGTGATGAACTGATTAGATTTTTGTGGTCTTAGGTCAGAGGTCAAGGTCACTGTGACCTTGTGTGTCCCATTCTTGTCAACATGATATCTCAAAAACCCCTCAAGGGATTTTTTTATTTCAAATTTGGCACAGACCTTCACTTGGACTCAACTATGGACTGATTAGTTATTGGTGGTTGTATGCCAAAGGTCCCTGTTACCCAAAATCTGTCTCATTTATAGCAAGATATAGCAAGAAAACCTAAAGGGAGTTTCCTCAAATTTGGTACAAATGTTCACTTTGACTCAAGCATTCGGACTTCGGTGGTTGGAGGTCAAAGGTCAAGGTCAGTGTGACCTCACAAAATGTGTTTTTGGCCAAAACTCCACAATTCTTATGCTAATTATGACAAAACATCACACAAATGTCTAATAAGATTAAAATGATGAAGTGATGACATTTTTTTTTATCCCAAACGCCAAAGGTCACTTGGCAAACAGTTTTAGAGGGCTTGAAAAAATAGCATATTGAAGCTAAAATGTACATACTTCGACCAAAATTAAAATTTCTGGGTGTGAATACATCAGGAACACTACTGGGAAGCTGCAGAATGATTAAAAAAAACCCAAACCCCAGTCCAAATAATGGCGCCGTGCTTTAATTTCCTTAATTCATTTAAACCTGAGATACTATTGATACTTGTGCTTCTCTTCCTACTGTCTTTCTTATGTATAAATCTTTTGGACTCCATGAGAGAAATTAGGTTGCCTAATTAATTTGAGTTTTGTTTGTTTCTACTTTGAAATCAGTCAGTTGCATTCCCTTTGTAAACATGGGTCATTACAAAGTTACTCTATTGACAAACCAGTTAAAGTGTTTGATATCTCGCCAAGGTTTACATACTCTGAACTTCAAATTGTTGCCAACTGTATTGTTGATCTTCAAATGTTTGGTTTTCTTGTGTAGATGCATAACAAACCATTCAATATGAAGTTGGTGCCAAAGGAAGCAAGTCATGACTAATGCGAAACAGTAGTTCAACCCAAACCCCCCACATCTCCTCCATTATAATATGACAGGTGCTCTGGCATGCCTGAGTCACACCAACACATGTGCACCACTCTCCTCCTTTTGTTTCCTCCTCATGTGCTCTTTCACAGTTCCTCTCTGTCTGACATTTTCAGTCAGCTCAATATCCTCTGACAGAATATCATCTGACATTTGGCTGGCTTGACACATTTAGCAGTGGGAGAGAATTCATAATCAACCTTCATCTCATCAGCCCTTTGTATTTAAAGCATCTCTTAGAGCAGACAAAGTCACAACAGCAAAGTGGAGGAGTCTCATCTTGTCTGCTGTTCTCCACATCACATGTGGATGTGTGGGAGCAAACCCCTTCTGGCAAGTCGTGAAAATAAAGTCACCCCAGCCCAACTGCGGAGAGCTGCGTTTCCTTGAAGAGTTGAGTTCCTCTAGCTCCCAACTACTTCCTCTTCATTTTATTAGATCTTTTTTTCTTTCTCGCAAGCTTCCAGCTTAACTCCTCACGAGGAAATGGGATATTTAATGTTAGAAAATCTCCCCCTCTGTGGCTGAGTTTCTTTCAACCTGTCTTACTCTTCTCTTTTACTTCTTTCCATTTCCATAAAGTACTATTTAAAAAGTATCAGATTCAATCACACAGTAATGTGCTCAGTAGTAGTTTTTGTGTCTTTGTCAACAACTCAGCTTGACTCAGGAATTTCATGCACACTTCTGCAGCGCTCGAAGCCATTTCACCTCTGCTCACCCAACACTGAATTTATATGAGCTTTTTACATACTTGGAGGTCATTGTAGTTCTCAGCTGGTGTCTTATTCACTTTATTCATCGTTAAACCCACTTCACTCAGCTAAATGCTTAGGTGCTTCAAAGATAGGCCCTCAGTGTGCCTGTGAGGGAAGCTGAGAAAGAAAGGCTGATAATAAGGTCACAAATTTACCTTCTCCAGAGAGTAACAACTGTATTGAACTTTTCAATTCACCTGATTTCAATAGAACTCTATTCATCAACCAAGGGAGATAACACAGTCATGGTGCAAAGGAGCTGAAGCCTTAGAAAATACAGAGACCTGGATTTGTCAAAACTTCATGTGGTTTTAAGAAAAAAGTGATTGTAGATCTGGGACACAGGCAAATCCACTGACTGATCAGAAAGCTGTGAAAGCTGCAGTAAGTTGCAGACTCTGGTGTCAGTTGTGAGTGGTTTCAGCAGTAACAGCAGCCTTCTCACATCACGGAGAGCCATTAAATTTGATGTTCATATCTTCATTTGCTCTAGTGCTGAACAGTTCCATTGTCATTGCAATATGAACAATCAACAGATAATAAAAGACTGACACTGCAAATGACTAACATAAAAAATAAGAAAAATATTTTCATTTGCATTCGCCGTCAGGGTCCAAAATTAACAACTGCCTAGTGCCAAACGTATATCTGGCCGTCTGACACACTGGCAGGTAAATGTTTGTACCAAAATGGTCATGTAATAAAAAAACACGATGCTGAGAGTCCCTACCAAATGACACTTTTTTACCTTTATTTTTCTTGTTAAAACAGACAAGCCTACACGTCATTACATTCCTGTTCTTTCACTACAGCATTTTTAATAACTGGATGCTAAAATCAGAACTATATCCAATTTATTCCTACGTGGGCAGATTGTAAAAATTCTATTTAAAAAAATCTAATGAAATTGTTATCAGCAAGCTCCACCATATCCGTGTAGAACAGGTCCCCAACTACCTCTCTGATCATTTTCAAGTTGTTTTAAGAGACGGTTTAAAAAAATAAAATTATAATAATAAAGATATAGTGTATAGGATTTTGGGGGATATATTGACATGAATGGAATATAATGTAGTAAGTGTACTGTAGATGTGTATAACCTCCTGAAAATAAGTAATGTTGTGTTTTCGCTACCTTAGAATGAGTCCTTTATATCTCCATAGGGAATGGGTCCTGGTTGATGGTGATGGTCATGTTGCACTGCCATGTTTCTATAGTAGCCAAGAATGGACAAACCAAATGCTGGCTCCCAACAGGGCCATTCACGTTTGCGTGTTTTTGCGGCAGCCACCGTAGTTAGAAGCCTATCTGCAACAAACACAGTCACAGTTTCCCTTGTTTTGGAAAGGAAGAGACCTCTGGGGATAATTCAACTCCCGCTAAAACCCTCTGAATATCTGGATCTGAAGTTATCAGAGGGAAGAGGTGTGCACACTTTAGTGCGTGGTGAACAAGCCGTCCGCATCAACATGCCAAACTTTGTTGAGGATTCACTGCTTTGTAATGTTAAACTGTTTTATTCTGTATTTTTATCAGTTTAAATCATCTGGTCTGTTTGTTTGTGAGAGGAAGAGACCTCTGCATATGAATAATAAAAAAACTGAAGTAATTCTAGCACGGAGAAGTTTTAGCAGGTTGCAATCCCTCTAAATCTTACACACTACACCTTTAAATACTGAGGTCATACCCAGTATGTATGCATTACGGCCAGTAACAATATACATGTTCAAATCATTTATTACATTTCTTTATTTAGTAGATACAGGCTATTTAGTGTTTTGGATCTATGTTAGCAGTACCTATTAAAGCAGAAAGACATACAAACTGTATGGCTAATATGCACACATTAGTATCTGTTTATCACAGGTCATATCATCATAGTAATATTAAACATTTTTATTGCATATCAAAGATTTTTCTTGCCCTGTAGGCTTTATTTTCTCCCATCAGAGTCTGAGCTGAAGGATTTTTCACCATATAGGTACACACCACAGTGGGGTTCAGCTTCTTGCTCAGC